GACCGTTTTTTACCACTACTTCGCCCCCCTGTTGATGGATCTTCACCAAATTTGTCATGAAGGTTTGTTGGATCCATGCGGAGGAATATGCAAATTTGCAGTTTCATATTTTGTGTTTTGCAGTTTCTATCGGCATGTTTACGTTTATTTACAATTAAATATAAGGGAAGCAACTTTTCATGTTCTTCTATAACCTTTCATTGATAATAAATTTACACAACTTCCGTCAAGGGAAGGTTACTCCAGCTGGTTTTAAATAGGTCACACAAGACAGAATTAATAAAAAGAAACAAACTGTCATTTTCCACTGCTCGAAATGAAATCTAATGGTCATTTTTAACCAATACTACTTTAAACGCACATGATTACACAGTTTACATCATTGATAAATTTCCATAATTTTTATATAAATTCATGAAAATTTAGAAGAAATGTTTTTGTGGGTTAATTTGTTTTCCCAACAACCTTACCAGAACAAACGGAAACAGAAACGTGAGCATTCCAGCTTTAAACCAGGACGAATTCGTGAGCATTTCTGGCTTCAATTATAGAAATATATCAGGTTGTTTTAAACGTTAATATGTAAGAAATGTTATTTTTTATTTAGTATGGAGTTAACCACAGAGATGTTTGCTCTCTTAAGCCGAAAGGCATATTTCTGTCCCGCTTTGTTCTGTTAATTAAAAATGCTCACGTATCCGTCCTGGTTTAAAGCTAGAAATGCTCACGTATCCGTCCTGGTTTGAAGCTGGAATTCTCACGTATCTGTCCTGGTTTGAAGCTAGAAATGCTCACGTATCCGTCCTGGTTTAAAGCTAGAAATGCTCACGTATCCGTCCTGGTTTATACAGAAAATTAACAAATAAACAAAGACATAACACTATCTTCGCTACTGTTTGTACTCAAACTAGTAGCAGGTATTTCGATTGAAATTAATTTAAAATTAACAGTTAATAGTTTAAATTTATTAAAAATTAACAGAAAATAATTAATCATCAGGGGTGCTCGAACATTGAGCAGTCTTCATTCGCCAAACTCGAGAATTTGGAAATTATATGAACTTGATTTCGGAATTAAAGGCTGACGTGCATATGATGTATGGTATACATTGGGGTGAGCAGTGAACACTGAAACACTAACAAACGGCCGATTACTGTTTGTACTGGGAAATGGGGGCTATATTTATTTACTTTCACGGCAACGAGTGCATACTAACGATCACATGATATCAACAACAACTTGATAGTATTGCCTGAACTAACTTCCTTTGGTCCCGTCTCAGTCTAAACACGTGCACTGATTAGTTGAATTGGTAGAAAGAAGGAAAACAAAATGGCACAAAATTTGTAACATGTTGTACACCTGCAAAGTTTCATTCCTGAAAAAAAAATACATGAAGTGCTGAATCCACCATTAAAATCATAGAAACAAAGTTTGATTGAGGACTCAAAGAATGTAAAAATAGTTCCGGACTTCCAAGAGTCCAGAAATGTTCTAGATTCGAGTTCTATTTAACACATCTCTACATATGAATAAAATGGGAGAAAATACTAGGCGCCACGATGAAATTTTTAGTCGCCATAGCGACCTGGCGCCCGAGATTCGTCGAGGCCTGTCTTAGCAGAACTTACAAGACCTAATAACCTTGAGTTCATCATACAATAACACTATTGTTTTCTGACGTGTGTCCGCTTCCCTGAAGCTATTGGTATTATTAGCTTATAACTTATCTTTCTTCTTATATTGACAAACCGTTTGACAACATCTGTTAGAGTCTGAACTGGGTTACATTGTTTTAATCAGTTTTATTTACGTTAAACAGATAAGAATTAGGGTAAGGCCATATACGTGTGTGTATTTGCTTGAAGTTAAGCACAAAGCCACACAATGGGTTATCTGTGCTCTGCCCACCACGGGTATCGAAACCCGGTTTCTAGCGTTGCAAGTTTGCATACATGCCGCTGTGCCACTGGGGCTATACGTGTGTAACGAAATAATTTACTTGTGTATAGGGTAGACTTTGTCATACTATTGAACAGAGTTGCATCATTGCAAACTGTTAACCATAACACACATTATGGATTAGCATTAATCTCGTTGTTAGACTATAAACGCAAAATCCTATTTAAGTCAGCATCAATCAAACTGTAAACCATAACACACATCAAATACGGTATGGATTAGCATTGATCATGCTGTTAGATGACACGCAAAATGCTATTTAAGTCAGCATTAGTCAAACTGTAAACCACATTCACCACATTTTATTCTAGTACATGCAGTATCGTAATTGGTGCATAACTAGAATTATAAATAATACATCTAGCTGTTTCGCACATCCATCCAAGAGTTTGTACCACGTTATTAAAATATTGCTGTAACGTGTTCTATCGCTGGTCAGGTTCTTTTAGATCATTTGGTATAGATAATACCAAGCCCATTCTACGTAATGATAACAAATTAATTCATTTATTCAATAACATTTGTTACAGGTTGCGTTTACTGGTAGGCCTAGCTTCACAAACAGAACAGAAACTCTGAAACTAAAGTACGCCTAACTTAGTTATTAACTTACTTGTAGAATTTTCTTTGTAACTGATTAATAACAAATCCGCTAACTGAATCGAACGAACAGACACAGTGACTCTCATTGTTTAACTCACTAGCTGGCACTGAACCGAAAAACTCATTCACTGATTAACTCAGTAATTTTTATATTATAACTTATACTCTTATTTCTACATAGTACAGGAAACCTCTACGTTCTACCGCTACCTTAACTTTCATGACATTTCTAGATCTTTCGTCATCATAACCTAATGTCAAGCTCCATCTAATAAACAAGCGTATCTATTATAATATCAAAAATATAACACAACATTATAATGGTTAGCATAAATCTAAACAAACGGCATATGTAAGAAAATGTTTAAGCTTGAATTGAAAAAAAAAAAATTAAGGGGAAAGTAACTAAAATAATATACAAGTAACAAAAGTAAGATAATTTTGAAAACAATAAGTATGAGAAATTACTGAAGTCTGAACTAAGTGAAATAAACATGGTTTAAATCCGCTGAGAGTAGTGACGGAAAAAAGGGGTAAAAAATACGATGAGTCAACATTGATTAACGGAAGCAGTATTAACCCTATTTGCTAATTAGCTGCTGGGATTATGAAATAAATGATCACAAAACACGTGACTTCCATTAAAACCGTGAACTACGAACACTATATTTACTTAAAGATCTATAATGGGTAGAACTTGCTAGTTTTTTTAATGTTAAACCTAAATTTACGATGTTATGATTTAATAATAATCAAGGTTACAACATCTGAAGAAATCAACTGTATCACCTACAGTTTTTAAATCAATGACCTGGTGGAATGACGCCATATTTTTTCGATGTTGGAAACACATTCAACTGCAGCGTTACTTAATCTCAATAAATAGTATCAGAAAAAAATGCATTAGCAAAATGATGAACATCACAAACATCACCATCTCCAAATAATCTGAAAATTTTACTTAACATGCAGACGATAAAGAAAGGCTTAGCATATATTTCAAGTATATTTTATAATTAAAACATGCAGATATCTATGGAACAGTTTTGTCAGTTTAAAAATTAATTTGAAAGCAAAAAAAATATCTGGCAAGTTTTTTTGTTTTTTTACTTTCATTTTTACTTAATAATTTTTATAAACTCAAGTAAATAAATCAATACCCGTCTAGTTGATAAAAATAAAAAACAGATAACCTGCAAGAAATAATAATTTTTAAAAAATGCAATACACATGAATAGTTTTTCCCCTATGTCAGTTTTATGGGGACCGAATTCTTTATACTTGGAGTCCGTGATTTGCTGGCGATAAATTTCAACAATAAACGGACAGTACACAATCCACTTTTTTTAAATAATATATTCAAAACAAGTCAAACGTATGTACACAAATTCGTTACACTATTGGTTATCACAGTTGTATCTAGAACTTTAAATAATTGTCTGTTTTTCGTGAAAGTCCACACGGGTGAGTTCAATTAATTTAGAACACCCTTTGACAAGACAAATTATTCTCCTCTACTCTATTATTTCAATATAATTAGAGATAAGTTCACATACTTTACCCCGTGGGTTACCACAGTTGTATCCAGAGCTTTAAATACTCTTTTACGCCAAAAGTCCACACAGTCTGGTTCAGTTACTTTAGAACACAACTTACAAGGCGAATTTTTCTTCTCTACTCTGTTTATTACAGTACAATCTGCGATAACACTTTAAAAGTCGCCACTATACACTCTTTAAGGATAAACTTACAAACACAGTCTATATCTATATCTCTCACTAGCTTTGCCTTACTTTCACTAACTTACACTTTCTCCCAACTTACACACACACACACACTGAGGCCTAGAACTTTCTACAAACTACGAGACGTTATGATGTAACAATACTCACTTGATTAAAGCAACGTGAAAAATACAAAAGGCTCGAGTAACGTGACGTCAATTCACAACAATTAAACTACATAACAAATAATTCTACACAGTTATGTAAACAAACTTGCCATAACTTTCGCTTCTAAATGTAACTAACTTTACCATTAGCACAATAAACAAAATAATACGCTGGTATTAAACTTAAAATGAACAGTCGTGTATATCTAACACGTACGTAGATACTTCTCCACATACTTCAATTAGACCAGTGTTTCTCAAACTTCTTACGTCGCGCCCTCTTTTCTACTCTGAAATAAATTTTGTCGCCTCCCCCCAAAGTTCAACTAATTTAAACTGTTGATAACGGTAAACTTAGCACTTAACAAAAAAAAAAACGAAAGACGAAACCCTTTCCTGACACTTTTCTCTCTCTCACACACACACACACACACCAAATATGGTCGAGTCCTCACAGTTTCAGAACCTCTGAACTCGACAAAACCAAACTTCCATTAAAACACAAAGCGCGTAGGGAATACACTAAAAATGAGGCTGATAGCGAAGGGAAGTATGAAAGGTGTTAGAGTTTCTGTTTCCATCGTGCAGTTGTTGCTGCTAATTTGACCTTCAGATTTCACAGTTCAATTTTAATTTTGTATTCTTATTATAGCAGCGCTCTTTGTCTTACTTCAGATTCGTTTGTGTCCTTGAAACGTAGTAGTGACGATTTAGCTACGTGAATAGTACATCCGGGAAGGCTTCTTGTAGCATATGCGTCATGTTTCTTATTAATAGCTGCTCATATTTACAATAAATAATATAATATTTATAAGCACCTATAGTAGAACAATGCAATTTACAGTCTTTTTAAGATGACACTCGAACAAAGCTTTGAAACGCGCCTTACGAGCTTCGTTTTTAATACATTTCGTACATCACGTGTCAAACTTAGTTAATATTCATGATGTTAGAAAAACAAAGACTTGATAGAAATTAATAAAAACCCTATAACCCGAGCGCTTTCGAAAGGTGGAACTTTCTTCTTCAGTTTGTCACTGAAAGCACTCGGGTTATAGGGATTTTATTCATTTCAAACTTAATAATATTAGTATTACAGAAGACACCGGAAACTATCACTATCAGACTTTCGATTTAGTCCCAAGTCTTAGTAATTAAAATATAACATTATACCAAAGGCTTACCTGGCTAGAATTAACTGTGAAATTCGCTAGTAAAGTTTAAATGTGCCACGAGCCCAGTCTCCGTCTTTCAACTTACGCTAAAACTAAAAGAAAAAATCAAAGATTATTAGTACGACTTGGCACTTCAACCCTAACTCACGCACTAACAAAGAAAAATGTCCAGTGATGGGTTTGGCAACAAGCGAGTGCTCGACAGTAATGGAATATCTCTCTACCTGTGGCAGTAAAGCTTGGGTGTAGACTTCGCAAACCCACCAAATGGATTTGGAACTGTTGACTAACCTGTTGGGGTTTTCCAGGTTGTTTTTTTTTTTTTGACGGATGCTTTCTTCAGCTCAAATATTTACAAAGCAGGTTTCTGATTATTCATATAGCGTGTGGAGACAAGGAAGTCACGTGAGGGATAATAGGAGTAACCTTCCCAACAGGATTTTGTTTGAAGTACAGTCCTGTTCATAAGAGTTGGATATTAATAAAACAATTTTACTTTCTGTACTGCTTAAATCTCTCAGTGGATCAACGGTTTATTACGGGCTTCAAATGTTAAAATTCGGGGTGGTGACAGAGCGCAAATAGATATAAAAGATAATATATATTACCCCACTTTCGTAACACATGAATGAAGATTGTGTTCCTTTGATGTGTGTGTTACGTTGGATGACACTACAAGTTTTAATGCAATTGTGTAAGATATTATGTCCTGATTAATTAATCCCAGAAACAATTTGTTCTGATTGTTGTTCAATATTTGAAAAAAATTATAACATTTGGTAACGAGTGAAATATGTTGTTAACAGTTTTAAAACTGGACTGTGGAAACATGACGTATTATTTGTCAAACAGAATACATATATATTTACCGAATTACTCATTCAATAATACTATAGAAATAAATGTATTGTTATAAGTCAAACGAAATATATATATATATAGTCGCAAAATTAATCATTCAACAACACTGTGTAAACAAATTCATTCTTATTGGGCAAACAAAATAGGCATATATATATATTTTTTCGAAAAATTAATCATTAATTAATACTATTTATTTGCGTTAGCTTGAGAGATTGAAGAAAAAACTCCGTAGTATATTTCATGGTAAATTTGGTGTGATATGTATGTTGTAACAAATGTAATTCCCATTTGTTTAGGTTTTATGATCAAACATTAATGTAAGTTTCATTTCGTTCAAATAACCCCTTATTAAATAAAGCATTCACACACACAGTTAGTGCATTTACCTCATACATCAGAACATTTACAGCGCTACCTACATCCGTTTCATTTCTTGAAGTACGTGGAAGCATTACGAATGATAGACCTGGAATATTACGATTATGTGTACATACATACTTTTCACGTCCACCTTAGCTAAAATAAAATTTACAAAATCCACCTATTCACAAAAGTTACACAAACTAACGTGGTTTGCCGATTTCCTTAACACTTAATTATATAAAAATAATAATTTAACTATTTGTAGACGTTGCAGTGACTCATAGATGCTTATAATTACGTACTGTGAAAACACTAACTCTTCCATTGTCACATTTATATATTTACAACTCTCCCAGTGCCAGATGTGTGTTGTTGTTTTTTTTATAGCAAAGTCACATTGAGCTATCTGCTGCGTCCAGTGAGAGGAATCAGACCCTTGATTTTAGCATTGTAAATCCGAAGACTTACCACTGTACAACCGGTGAACTCCAGTGCCAGCTAAAAATACACGTGTTGTGTTATATAATTACTTAGCGTTGTAAGTCCATAAACTTACCGTTAACCTGATTGTTTTTTAGTCAAGCACACCGCTACACAATGGGCTATCTATGCTCAGTCCACCACGGACATCGAAACCCGGTTTCTAGCGTTATAAGTCTGCAGACACGCCGTTGGGGGGCTACCGCTGACCCACCGAGACAATATTATATAATTGAAATAATTATTCATGTATTTATTTCCAAAATTTGCAAATGAATATGAAACATTTGTTATTTTTGTTTATTAATTATAACATTGTTTATTCTCTTGCATACCTATTTCTTGGAACATTTTATAAATATCAAACGTTTCAAGGCTAAAATGAAGGTTAAACAATGTGGGTCAGTGTGTTACGGATGGATATATATGTGTCCGTTGTCAATGAAAGGGTCAAGATATATATAGAAATAAAAATATATAAGCTGTGGTACCCATCTTTTGTCCGAGGTGTGAACTTTAAAAAGTGGATATATGCCATGATAAATAACATAAAAATCCTAACTTTCACACAATATTTTATAACATAACCTATTATTACAGTATTACATATTAATAATAATAATATTACATATTATTATTAAAATATTATTACAGTAATCATTATTACCTCACCAAAGGTTTTGTATAAGCTTTAAGAACTCAATATGTATATACTTAAAACATGGTATACACTGTGTGATGGTCAGGGTGACTTTGTATTAAAAGGTATCAGTCAAGGTAGTGGCTGTAGGGATGTTTTCTGTTACCCGCTTTTAACATCCAGCTCTTAATGTCCTTCCACAGTGTTTCACGTGATTAATTAACAGACGGTCATTGGCCTGGTGCAGAAGATCCTACGGGGCGAAGTTGAAAAGTCACGGGTCAAAGTAGGAAATTGGTATAACTCAAGAAATGGCTCTTCATACCAGCCTTATGGTAGCTGTTGGAGTAGAAACTTCAGCTGAATCTATGTATTATTGCAATAGTGGCGGTCATTCTTTCATTATATTCCTCCATAAAGAGAGCTAGGGCACTCTCTGAGATATGTAAAACGCTTATGTGCCCTCGCCCACACTGTGTGTACGTTGTGTTACAGAAAATTTAATATTTTTTTCAGTGTCAGAACACGGTGCCATCTATGAATGTAATCAACGTTACCTTACGTCAAAGATAATAGATACTCAATAACAGCAATAATGAGGGTGGAGGGTGTTTTGAACTCCCATTTACATGCCCCTTCTTCCAAACTATCATCCCACAAACTTTGGTTGAGATTGGCCCAGCGACCTAGGAGTAGTGAGATAACGGACAAACAGACAGACACGCAGATTTTTTTGTGCTTTATATATATATAGATTTAATTACTAAAATATTCTGTTTTGGTGTAAGGACGTGGCGCCATCTGTGAATGTAGTTAAGGTTAAGATAATAATTGCTCAACAACAGCAATAATGAGGTGGAAGGGATTGTGAACCTCATTAATATGCTTTTGTTCCAGACTGTAATCCCACAATATTTGGTTGAGATTGGCCCAGCAACCTAGGAGTAGTTAGATAACAGACAGACAGACCTTTTTTCCCCCTTTATATATATTTATATTACAATGAGTGGTTATGTCTCTGCAATTACCCAATACTTGTTGATCAATATCATCCTTCCACAAATTCTGATTATACTTTCTATTAGAGTTACAGGATTTTTCTCTTTTCTTTGGGGGTGGGAGAGTGATGTTGGTGGGAAGGAGTTGTTGTTTTATATAATATGGGTCAAGGGTTGGCCCTGTGGTAAAACTTCGGACCTTGAGAGTGAAGTTTAATCTGTACGATACCATAACATATTTCCCGCATTTCGAGCTATGAGTGTGTTATAAGAGTGATAATCAATCTCTTATGGTGGATAGTAGGATGCTGCTTACTGTCTGTCTTCCCTCTGACTAGTTCAAAATTAGGAATGTTTCTATCTAGATAGACCATTTAGTTTTGTACGAAAATTTTTAAGACAAATAAGCAAGCATATTCTTTCAAATTAACTTTTGCTTTTAAATAAGATATATTTTTTTATTGGCTGAATCTCAATCTATTATAATAACCACCAAATGCTTTGGTTCTCCCATTAACCACTCTAGCTACGGAAAGCTATAGCAGGTCCTTATATCTTAGAAATAAATTTATATTTGTAATTATACGATTAAAGTACTAACTGTTATTTTACACCGATGTTTTAGGGGTTTTTTTTCAACAATCAAAACATGACTACAACTGGTGCTCATAATGAATAGGGCTGCAGGAAAACTGGCGGATTTTTTATTATTATTATTTAGAGTCTCTTGCAAAATCTGCTTCTTGAACCTAAAATTTAATACCTTCTCTTTTTGATATTTGTTTTTTCAATGTTTGTTAATTTCATGTTTGAACTTGAACATTTTTATTCCAATGAAATAGCTTGTTGGAGATTTTTTTTTAGTAGGACGGATCCATTAAAATTGGGTGGTGTTAGGCAACTGTCAGTAGTGTTTGTAATTCAAAGTAAAAATCAACGTTTCTCAAACAAAGAAATATCCTGAAGGAAACAAAACAATAGGTAGAACAATGACGTTTGGTGGTTCAAATTGGATATTGTAAAGTTTCGTTCACCTACAGCGATGTAAAGGCAACGTTTCAATCTGTTAAACAGATCTTCGTCAGATCAGTGTAGTTACCAAAGTCAAACCGTTTCAGTACTTTTTTAGGGCAGAATCCGGAGATGTGCAAACTGAATACCTCATCTATTTTACCTTGGTTAAGATAATAATTATGGTAGGAAAGCAGAACAAATCTGGTCTCCAAGTACCGAGACATACTGCATAAGGAAAACCTTATCAAGGAATACTTCTGAAGTAAGAACTTATCAAGACATTTTCGATGACGAGGAACCCACTTTGGGACTAATAATGGTTGGAGACAGCTAGAATGGGTAATGAAGAAAAACTTTAATATAAGTTTAACATAACAACAAATGTACAACGTTTCGACAAGGTTTTGTCATCATCAGGTTAAACTTATATTAAAATTTTTCTTCATTACCCATTCAAGCCGTCTCCAACCATTATTTATCAATACATACTTTAGAAGGAAGATCTTATCAAGGAATACTTCAGAAGTAAGAACTTATCAAGGAATACTTCAGAAGTAAGAACTTATCAAGGAATACTTCAGAATTCCTTCTGAAGCATGCCTTGATAAGTTCTTACTTCTGAAGTATTCCTTGATAAAGTCTTACTTCTGAAGCATTCCTTGATAATGTTTTCCTTCTGAAGTATGCCTTGATAATGTCTTCCTTCTGAAGTATGCCTTGATAATGTCTTCTTTCTGATATATGCCTTGATAATGTCTTCCTTCTGAATCATGCCTTGATAAGTTCTTACTTCTGAAGTATTCCTTGATAAGTTCTTACGACATTATCAAGGCATACTTCAGAAGGAAGACATTATCAAGGCATATATCAGAAGGAAGACATTATCAAGGCATACTTCAGAAGGAAGAACTTATCAAGGCATACATCAGAAGGAAAACCTTTAATTTTACATTCAAAATTACGCCAAGTATAGAAGAATGACACCCTATAAACAAATCAGTTACAAAAGTAAAAAGGAAAGTTTGTGTTTAAGTATTTAATAGCCTATTTTTTTACAATAAAAATACCCATCTACACAGTCAATAAAATATGCTTCATTCAACATTTCAATAAAGAAATAAATACTTAATGTAACATTTTTGTTACAAAAATCAACTAAGATAACAATTATTGTTTATTACTGATAATTAATTAGCCGCGGCATGATGGCTCATAGAATGGCTCTGAGTTTTTTGCAAGTACGAGATTTTAACTCATAGTTCCATTTCTTGATCGATTTGAGATCTAATTACAGCCGCAGCTATTGAGGATTTCCTCTTGTTCGGTTTTGAAAAATTAATTTCAAAAAAGTTAATAAAAACGGGAACATATCATCAATATTCAGCTTGTTTTTTTTGTTATATACATACTATGAAACTACTTATAAAATTAACAAATTTATACTCGTAGAACTGACTGAGACAAATTACAAATTAAAAAAGAACTTGGATTTAACAATTTGGCTTGGTTTGCTCACAGGCTTAACTGTATTCATTTCACACAAAGTTAACATGAGAATACTTGCAGTTCCTAATTTCCATCAGAGTCAAAACATGATACCTGAAACGTTTATAAGAACATGCATGTATAATCAACAAGAAAATACTTCGAGTTTCTGATTTCTATCAGAGACAAAACATGATGCCTGAAACGTTTATTAGAACATATAGTCAACAAGAGAATACTTCGAGTTTCTGATTTCCACCAGAGACAAAATATGATGCCTGAAAAGTGTATTAGAATTAGAGATGCATCTACATTTCACTTGGCTTAATTAGCTAGAATAACCTAGTTGAAAATTGGATCAGTGATGTATACAAATTATTCATTGTTTAATTAGCTAGTTAAAAAATTGGATCAGTAGTACATGAAAGTCAGTCCTAGTTTAGTTAAATGTAGTTAAAAGCTGAAACAGTTCTGTATCAAAGTCACTGCTAGTTTAATTAATTAGTTAAAAATTGAGTCACTTTTGTACCAAAGTCACTCCTTTTTAAGAACACTATTAAACATTGGAACGTATGTGTTTTATTTGCTGGTTATAAGAAAATACTAAAACGGTACATTCCATCAGCAAAATAAGCTAAATAAAGTTTTATAAACTCAACGATAAACTAACGTCCTCGAAATTAAATAAAGATAAAACCCGTACTATAGTAGTTTCTAACCAGAGACCAGTTACATTTAACACATCAGTCGAGCTAATAACAAATGGATCTGTTCTGAAACGTTATAAATGAATAACGTGTTTCTTGATGTAATATGAGGACGTATTGAGCTAACTCAAACAATAATAAATAATTCATTAAACTTTGTGTAAACTTCTACGGCAGCTAACTAGAGTTGATTCATTTCCTAACAATGTGAAAGACAAGATTAATTGTTGTACAAATAAATAAATAAATTCGTGGATAATACAAGATAACAACAAATTATGTCCTCAGTTTGGAAATGATGTTGCACGTTTAAATATCAACTGGGAAGTTAAACATTGTCTATGCTGGTGGCGACACCTGTCTGTGTACATAACCCAGAGGTGCCTTTGTTTATAGATTTGTACTTTAAAAAAAACCGGATTAAACCTAACCACAAACTAGAGTTAAGGTTACAAAGCAGCTACAGTCACTTCAAATTTAAGTTTGAGGTTATTTAATGAAATCAAGATTATAAATACTTGTGAGATAAGCCTAAATTTCGTAAGCCTATAAATTATTTGTAGAATTTCAAGAAGGATGACAGATAAAAAGTGACCTCAAAATTTCCTTTTTCGGAACATAAATTACACTGGTTTTACAAAGTTTGAGATATGTCTTTTTTTTTCTTGTTTCTCTATAAATTAATTTTTTCTTGTTTCTCTATAAATTAAATAAACGGTCTACGAAGTTCGTGAAGGACAAGCTTAGTGTCGGCCTTTCTTCTGTGTGGTCGCAATTTTTTTGACTTATATACACTAGCCTCCCGGGTTCTAGGTTAAAATCGTGCAGAAAATTCTCGATGATATTAATGACGTTGTGGTCGAGACTAGATTGGCGACTTAGAATTTCTAGGCTGTGAAGATGACCAAAAAACAGATTGCGGCATGTCCAAGTGATTGCAACATTATCGTAGTCGGTTCCTAGTACCCAGTAGTCTAACGTGGGCCTCATGATATCTGTAATAACACAAAATATTTACATATTTCAAACATCAATTGAACTGGAAAAATGTAATAATAAAACATTGATGGCCTAGATAGAAAGTGGCTAGCCAACGGCACCCACCACTAATTCTTGGCTATCAATACAAAATTAGGTATGACTATACGCAGATAGCCCTTGTACTGTTTCTATGAAAATTATAAATATACCTGCAGAACTTGGACGAGTTTTGTTTTAGACTTTAGTTTTAAATAATTTGACCACGTTATTATAATTTTAATTCTCGACACTCTTTTGCTAAGATTCATACGAATATCTTCTGTTTGATGAGGAAATGTTCATCAAATTTTGGCATGGCCTGGTGGTTAGGGTTGCGGGTTCGAATCCCATCACCGAACATGCTCGCCCTTTTAGTCGTGGGAGTGTTATACTGTGAAGTTCACTCCCACTCTTCGTGAGTAATGGAAAAGCCCATTAGTTGGCGGGAGGTGTTCACTATTCTACACTTCCAAAGTAGTGACAGATATTCCTCAAGTAATTAGTTCTGGGCGAAATTTAATTAACAACTTTTCAGTTTACTTCTTTGTTTACGCACTAAGTTGCGTTCAGACAAATATGGGATAAGCCTAACTGGAGTCAACAATATTCCCTTTAACGAAACGCTTTACATCCAGATTTCACGATAACAACTGAGAAAGAAGCCTTCCATCCGGTAGACAAATTTCTTGGAGTTCGAATAACGAGATGTTGGTGCAGTTAATGGTATCAGTATTCACCTGATGTATTTAGGCTATTTAAAAATTTAAATTCAAGTGGTCGTGAACATACAGAAAGATATGAGAGTCCAAGGTTCCTTTTACCGTAAAGAAGAGGGTGAACTAGATTACTATAAGGACCACTTTAGCCCTGGAACGAATGACTTTAAGTGGAAAAAAGTCTAGTTTTTACACCTTAAAGTGGATGATCCGGTTTAGTTTTCTAAGAAAATGGCATTCAGGTACACTTTTCTCTTTGTCTATTTTGTATTTATACTATCAATTAATACAGCTGTACAAAACTGTTAGCGATTTCTGTATTACTAGGTGGCGTTTGTTCTAAAGCACAAACTTACTCAGTGGGTTTTCTATTCTCTGCCCACCGCAGATATCGAAACCCGATTTTTAGAGTTTACAAGCTCACTGATTTATTGCTGAATTATCGGGGTGCGTCTCGTAAAAGTCAAAATTATTTTATTTTTGGTACTTATACTTTCTGTTTATTTCATTGTTTGTTATAAAGCATAACCTGTGCTCTGTCCATTGCGGGTATCGAAACTCGATATTTAGCGTGAAAAGCCTTCAGACTTACTGCTGAGCCAACAAGGGAAAATCATTTCAAAATGCGTATTGTTTCATGTCACGTAAATGACATTTAACTTAAGAATTTAAAAACATACATATCAGATCTCCATAACAGTAACATAACAGAAAGTAATCACGATGACATTAAAATAAAAACTGTAAGTTTTAGGCTTAAAAGATTCATAAGGGAGATGTTTTCGTTGTTATTTTAGCGCAAAACTACACAGTGGTCTATCTGCGTTCTGTTCATCGCAAAGAATCGAACCACGGATTTCACTTTGAAAGTCCGTGAATTTACTACTGACCCACCGAAGGGAATTAAAATCGCTGGCAAAATTCATTTTAACTCATGACTTTTAATTTAAAATAATGATTAGACTGTGGTGAGCTCTAGAGTTAGGCTTAGTGTAGTTCTGATTTTTTTTTAATCAGTGACTTGTACAAATGACAACTTGAAAGCATGCTAACAAAGGGATATTTTAATGGAAATATCCAGTGACCTGAATATTATAAGAAAACTCTACATACAGCAGAGCCTCAATGAAGCTACATTTTCTTTAGCACGCGTGGTTATTATGCAATCTTTATATTTTTATTTCGCTTAATTTTGTAAGTGTATAAGCCTACATCCTATGCCTTTTTATCGTTTGGCTAGTGATGACATAAATACTTGCCATGCGTCCATATGACACTAGTGTTAATTGTCACACTCATTTTTGTAAACGGTCAGTACGGATTCACACAGGACAGAAACATTCAACTCCGCCATTTTTGATATTCGTAAATTGTCTTTGTTTGTTGTTAAGTACAAAGCAACACAATGCGTTATTTGGTAATAAGACTTTCCACTGAGCCACTGGGTGAATGAGTGTGTGTGTGGGGTGCGGGTTAAAACGTTTATCCGTAAAGGTGTGGCAATTCAAGTGATTTCTCCACTTTGTCTTAGTAAGTTAGGCTTAAGAAATATGAGTCCTTTAGAAAAATGGGTGATTGGTGTGTAGTAATAATGAATTCAATTATTCGGAGATTCGCGTGAACACGGACAGCCAACTGTGCAGCTTTAAGCAGAAAAAAAAAATCCTACTGCTACCTTATATGTATATACCGGTATCACATTATATATATATATATATATAGGTATTATTATCAGGAGCCTTCGTTTTGTACAGCTCGACTCGCAATCTGAGGGTCGCGGGTTCGAATCCCCGTCACACCAAACATGTTCGCCCTTTCAGCCGTGGGGGCGTTCTAATGTGACGGTCAATCCCACTATTCGTTGGTAAAAGAGTAGCCCAAGAGTTGGCGGTGGGTGGTGATGACTAGCTACCTTCCCTCTAGTCTTACACTGCTAAATTAGGGGCGGCTAGCGCAGATAGCCCTCGTGTAGCTTTGCGCGAAATTCAAAACAAACAAACAATATAGCTATATTATTACATCACATTAGTTACATCTGTTTTAAATAGACTACTGTGGTATATTCTTCCGATTATATTTTATTCCAACAAAAACTTACTAAAGGGGCGTTTCAACGCCATCTTGGCTGGTTCTCCTGATGGAATTTCTAATTCTCTAGAACTCTCGCCCAACACGGGGAGTCTGAAACGACAAAAAAAAAGTATCTTATTATTTGAAAATATTTCTGTCACTAAAGGTGTTTTTATTTTGTAATTAGTTGACGAATATTTATTAAAAAACAACTCAGATTTTCTTGAATAAGGCAGTGACTACATTCTAGTGAGAAAAAGAAACACACAGTAGTTATCAAATATGGAATCAACGCCATAACTTAACTGTTACTTCTTGATAAAAAAAAATACGCAAAGATCATGAGTTTTGTTATAAATTCGTTTTTTGTCTCATGATTTTCAAATGTGTCATAAAACAAAGAATTGAATCACAAGACATAAAATAATTATACAAAAATAATAGTTTGTATTATTAGAAACTTATATTAAGGTTTACTTAAAACTGATTTTTTTTATTATGAACTGCACCTTTTGCGCTCGTGAGTTAAACGGCCAGGTCAAAGAATATTTTGTACTATTGCACGTACTCGAACTCAGAGCACTACTATAAGGCCAACCCAGGGCCGAATATAAAAATTTGTGTGTTTGTTTATAATTAAGAACAAAGCTATAAAACAGGCTATCTGTGCTATGCCCATCACAGGTATCGAAACCCGGTTTTTAGCGTTATAAACCTTCATATTTACCGCTGAGCCACTGGGGCGATAATCAAAATAAAAATCATAAAAGCAACGAAAAATAAAAAGACAGTTTAAGACGTTTAAGATATCAGCAGAAGTCTACTGAGTTCGATAACTTTTAGAAATTCGCATGAAGTGACAGAAAGACGAATACAACTGATATTTTAATAAAATCAGTTTTAGTTTTATATTAGGATAACTATAAAAACTGACAGAGTTTGATAATCTAAAGTTAGTATAGTAAAACACAAATAAAGATTTCACGTTATTTAGATTTTTTTCTTTTGCAAGATTAATTATCATAGTAGATAATCAAAAAAATATCAGAAAGGAAACGATTAACAAAAGAAAAATTGATAATTAACAAATAAATTAGGTTTGTTAAAATATAGTTTTGTTGTGTTACTAAGTCTTAGATCTATGAAATTTTAAAATAATAAAATACCTGAAAATTCAAAAAAAAATACAAATAAAATGCGCAAGTTCGTCTTTCTTGGGATTTTTATGCTTAAATCAGAAGTTTCAACATAATGAACGAACTTTAAAACTAAGAATAACAAGCTAGGCATGACAGTGGTCTTCTTAGGACTTCATTGCAAAGTCGGCTAATGTTCAATAAAGTTCCAATATCCAAAATGATGATTAAAGTAGAAAATAAAATGTGGATCTGGAAATCTGTCACAATTTAGTTAGTGGTTTATGCTGTGTTTCGAAATTGTTGTTTAAATAATTGAACACACACAAAATAATTTGTACTCTAATAACTTACATGAAGTTCACTTTCGTTTTAAGGTTAGCTATCAAAAGAAACTGTATTGTGGGTTAGAATCTCTATAACTAGAATTTCAGTTCTGTTAGAATACTCATAAAAATTATATTTGGGTTCTTTTAGAATCAACATAAAACTAGAATTTCGGTTCTGTTAGAATCTACATAAAACTGTAGTTTCGGTTCTAACAGAACCAAAACTACAGTTTTTATGTAGATTCTAACAGAACCTCCATAAAATTGAAATATGTATTTTTAAGATTCTCATAAAACTAGGGGTTTATTATAATTTTCCCAGAAGTTTACTATACTTCAAAATCTCCTTTTTGCATCAACAAAGAGCTGCTTAGCCTGACATCCATTAGGTAACCACAAGAGGCCATTAAAAGATTAATTGAGGTATTGTCGTTAGCACATTATTATTGGTAGAAAGAATTCACGGCATCTCATTGATTTTCTAGCACTCTGTAGATGGCACTAGTAGCCTTAGTGAACAAGCATTTATAACATTTTGTTTCACCCTTGCAGAGAAATAAAATAAAAGACAGTGTGAGCCACGATAATTCTAATTCCGTCGTAAGGTCTACATTATGTCATTACTCCGAGATAGGTTGCTGCTACTGAGTAGTAACAAAATATATATGACTTTCAAATGAATCATTTAGCTTTTTGAGAATATGATACGATAAGTATCAGTCGTCTAAATTGTTGGTTTTACCTCGATGAACTGACCCAGATCCGTGATTACATAACAGTTTCACAGGACGAGCGACCGGAAAAAAATTATTTTTTTTAACTTACGCACTCCCAGGATATACACATGCTTATCAGCTCAAGTACTTCTCACGTGGAACATTGAAAAAAATAATGAATTTGGCCTGCTGTGTGAATGGAAGTTAAATCCTATGAAGGATTAGAGTTGTTGTCGCACAGCGCCCTCTTTCGTTGGTACGTTGAACTTAAAGTAATTGTTCTGTTATATTCAAACATTAATTCATATATATATATATAGGTATATATATATTTTGAAGAAACATTATTATAGAAAATACACAATAAATTACTAGAATATAGAATATTTATGATATTTTAGTTCCACTGGCGAAATGTCAGCTCTCTTGAATTTTCACAACTCATTATAAACTGATTGTATAAATCTTGCACTTATTTTCTTGTTACATCTCTGAATATTTCTTCATTTTATCTACTCATGTAAAAAAAAAGGTCTGTAGGTTTATCATTGACTGAAAAAAATATTCATTTCTCACGATAAATTAAAAACATACATTGTTTCATATTAAGTAAAATAAATCTTTAATTACAAAAACAAAAGTTGTACAAACGGATCTTATAGGTCTGAGTATTACTCAATGTGTGACACATTCGTTTGTTCTAGGGTTACGACGATTAATCGTTTTCATAAAATTAAATAAGATAACAATCGATTACTTTCCATGATTAAGATATGAAATTAGTTCAAAACTAATAAGTAGAGACAATACAGCAATCATACTGTACCCTTTTTAGAAACAACATATCTGTGTGTATCTATCCTTGATTTCGAGGGTAATTTGTGAACGGCTGTTAAAAATGGAACCCAGCATGTATGACTCACATCTGTTGTAAGTCACGTGACACATAATAATTACCGTAATTCCTTCATATAATTAGATAATTAATTCTTTAAGAGTTTGTTTGTGTGTTCAGGGACAAGCTTTCGCGTTCAAACAAAATTATTCTTTCTATTTCTGATTAGAAACAATTACCGATTTTATGATTCTGAAATCGATTTCCGTGAGGAATCGCATCGTATTCGATTATGCGAGCAATAGTCATAGGCCTAATTTCGATGACAAGGAACCCACTTTGAAACTAATAATGGTTGGAGACAGCTTGAATGGGTAATATAGAAAAACTTTAATATAAGTTTAACATAACGGCAAATGTACAACATTTCGACAAGGTTAAAGGTTTGTTCAACTTATATTAAAGTTTTTCTTCATTACCCGTTCAAGTCGTCTCCAACAATTATTAGTCACAGGCTTAGTTTGTAAGAAGTATCCAGTGAGGGCTAATACATAAATTCTTTCTTTTTTGCAATTTTCCTTGTTCTAACATAAGAGCTGCAAGTATTCTGCACGACATTTTCTATATAGTTACAAAAACTTGAGAAAAACCTGATATAAAATTTAATTCAAATTAACAGTTCTACTTACCCTGCGATAGTGCTGCCAATTTGGGATAAGTAAAATCGCCCATTTGGTGCACGTGACACTTGGCGTTGAAGACAAGTACCTGACGTCAAGTGTGATTGGATGACATACCACTTCCCCAAGAACTACAACAATCATAAATAAAATCAATTATAGGATTTATTCTACTGGAAAATATATAATACATTCAAAGTTGCTATAACCTGTGACGCTGAACAACGTACTGAAGCCTGGCTTTGTGTAAACTATGATAACTCGAGATAAACCATCTAAGTTCTTAAGATATATTATTTATCTTATCTGAGCAGTTTTTAGGTTTTGTTATTATTATTATTTTTTACAAGAGTCATCTCAACGATTGTTTAACAAAGTAATATGTATACTTTTTCAGTAAAATGGCGCTGAAAGCCTGAGATATATGTCCAATATAATATAGTGGGGTACGAGGTGGGATAAGATCATTTCCATTTTCTATAAAAACTACCTAGAGTTAGCAGTTTTCGAACAATGCACGGCGGCAGTCTCTTAACTCCCTAGGCCTGGCATGGCCAGGTGGTTAGGGCGTTCGACTCGCAATCTCGAGGTTGCTGGTTCGAATCCCCGTCCCACCAAACATGCTCGCCCTTTCAGCCCGATGCTTATAATGTTACGGTCAATCCCACTATTTGTTGGTAAAATAGTAACCCAATAGTTAGCGATCGGTGGTGATGACTAGCTGCCTTCTTTCACTGCTAAATTAGGGATGGCTAGCGCAGATAACCCTCGTGTAGCTTTGCGCGAAATTCAGACTAAACTTAACTCTATTTCTTCTGCCACTTTTTAAGCAAATTTAATACTAGAAAAATAAAAACCATATAGTCAAGCTTAAAGCACAGGTGTCGTTTTAAAAATGTGTTTTTATCATTGGCAGTCTCTGAATAGATCACAATTATAGAAAAACAACCCAAGCAACTCATATGGTGCATATATTTACAGACAAAAAATGTGTTTTTAATACGGTGGGTGGTGTTGAATAGCTACCTTCTCTCTAGTCTATCACTTCAAAATTACGGACGGCTGGCGCAGTTAGTAAATCTGGCGAAGCTTTGTGCAAAATTCAAAAACAAACAATCTGTTACGCCTCCGTTCGTTAGTTTGTTTCCCGTATAATTTCTTTCCGAAGAAACTTTAGCGATACAAGTCCTTTCTTAAATAAAACTGGTTTATTCTTTCTGAATACAACTTTGCATTACACTTAATTTCCACAGTCGCGCTATAACAAACGCTATAATTCACAACGAACGTCACGTGCTCGACTCAACTGTCTGCAGTTCAATTACACATTACATTGTTGCAGTCACTTCTTACCGGTCTTATATATACAAGAATACCGCATATCTAGTAACCTCTCGAGGCTTCAGGAAGGGACGTGAACGTTCGAGTATATGACGTGTTACTAGCGTCACGTGACCCCCGCTGTCGTAACAAAACAAATACTGCGTTTGCTTACTAAATATAATAAATAGATACCCTAGTACTTGGTGGTTGTCACCACATTCGATAGCGCTGGAGTTCATAATTAGTGATGGAACTTTTATTTTTATTTCTGCGTCTAGTGGGAATTGATATTTAAACATAGTAGCATTACGTCACAGAACGTGCTATAACACTTCTCAGAAACATAAAAAAACGTAGTTTAAAAATACTGTACATAATATGATAAGACCTAAATCTAAATTTTTGGAGAATATTCCAAAAGATTATGAGAATAAAGATACTCCTCTTTTTGTTTCCTTCACCGTTTTAATTGGTAATTTGTTTGTTTGTTTGTTTGTTGATAATCACAAAGTTACACAATGAGCTATCTGTGCTGTGACCAGCACGAGTATCGAAACCCAGTTTTTAGCTGTGTGAGCCTTACCGCTGAGCCACTGAATGGGGGTGAGGGTTAAAACATTATTAATGTTAATCTCATTCAATATGTAATAATATTCAACTCGAATAGTTATTTTATTTAATAATCCATAACGCAAATTTTGTTTTACATAATATGTTTTTGAAAAATAACCGAAAACTCAATACTGTTTGGAAATTTGAAATAAATACATCTCAAAGTTTATATTATTTTCCTTTTAAATATTAAAGTCATTCCAATAGAGAAAGAAAAATAATAATTGTGTAAAACACATAACAAACAGAAATGTCCTGCTGAAATGTTTGTTGCTATTGTTACTCCACAACGTTATTACCTGCTTGCACAATTTTATTGTGACAACGTTAGATTTGAAAGCTGATTTTGAGTTATCAGTGTTAGCTTGTTTGTTTGTTTG